ATCATGACCTGAGCCAAAGGCAGATGCTTGACCGACTGAGCCACCCAGATGTCCCCAAAATAATATTTTTAAATATTCTTTCATCAGACAGTGAAGTTGTTTTCCACTTTTCACCGATGCAAAGAATGATTTAGCAGACATCTTGGTTCATTGTCTTTATCTGCATTTTGAACATTTATTTTCCTACTTAAGAGAAATTTTTAGTGGAATTATATGCCAAAGGATATGAACATTTTATTTATTTTATTTTTTTAAAAGATTTTATTTATTTGACAGAGAGAGACACAGCGAGAGAGGGAACACAAGCAGGGGGAGTGGGGGAGGGAGAAGCAGACTCCCTGCTGAGCAGGGAGCCCGATGCGGGGCTCGAACCCAGGACCCTGGGATCATGACCTGAACCGAAGGCAGACGCTTAACGACTGAGCCACCCAGGCACCCCAGATATGAACATTTTAAAGACTTTCTCTTTCTCTGTATATAGACATACACCTTTCCAGAAAGATCTTATCAGTTTATACTTCCCTCAGCATCAAATGAGAGTAAGTATCTGTCTTCCCTCGCCTTCAAACATTTCCTAATTTGAAAAGGTAGAAGAGTAATATGTAATTTTTATTTTCATTTCCATGATAATCAGTGATAATGAATGTTTTTTTTTTCTTTTTTTAGATGGGGAGGTAATTTGTATTTCTTCCTTTGTGAATTACCTACTTATTGGGTGTTTTTAAAGAGATTTCTATGATCTCTTCATTTATTAAGGAGATTAGCCCCTTGGCTAATGTTTATTGGCATGTTTGTTTCAAATTTTAAACCAGTTTGTGATTTGCCATTGGATTTTTTGTTAACAACTGTATTGAGGTATAATTCATATAACATACAAGTTACCCATTTTTTCAAAATTTTATTTAAATTCTATTAATTACCGTATAGTGTGTTAATAGTTTCAGAGGTAGAGGTCAGTGATTCATCAGTTGCATATCACACCCAGTGCTCATTCCATCAAACAAGTTACCGATTTAAAGTGTACAATTCAGTGGATTTTTTTGAGTATTCACAGACTTGTGCAGCTATCACCATAATTAATTCTAGAATATTTTCATACCCTCAAAAAGGAAACTGCGTACCCTTTAGCTATCATCCCCCAAGCCCAACTCTCTCACCAAGCCCCCCAGCCCTAGGCAACCACTAATCTACTTTTTGTCTCTATAGATTTGCTTCCTATGGACATATCATATATTTGGAATCACACAGTATGTGGTCTTTTGTGGCTGGCTTCTTTCACTCAGCATCATGTTTTCCTTTTTCCTTTCTTTCTTTTTTTTTAAATGATTTTATTTATTTATTTGCCAGAGAGAGAGAGAAAGAGAGCACAAGCAGGGGCAGTGGCAGGCAGAGGGAGAAGCAGGCTCCCTGCTGAGCAAGGAGCCCGATATGGGACTCAGTACCAGGACCCTGGGATCATGACCTGAGCCGAAGACAGACTCTTAACCGACTGAGCCACCCAGACGTCCCTCAGCATCGTGTTTTCAGTGTTCAATATTTTATTCCTTTTTATGACTGAATAATATACCATGCTTTGTCTATCCATTCATTACTTGAGGGACATTTGGGCTGTTTCCACCCTTGGGTATTATGACTAATGCTGCCAAAGCAATATAATTTAGATTTTAGGTTTTTAAAACTTTGTTTACTAAAGTTTTAAATTCATACCAACCCTATTGCTTGTCTAGATTGTATTTCTTTGGTTGTTTAAGATGAACAAATCTTTTCCCAAACCAATGATAAAATTTTCACCTTTTTAATTTTTTTTAAAGATTTTATTTATTTATTTGAGAGAGAAAGAGAGCATGAGCAGGGGGAGGAACAGAGGGAGAGGGAGAAGAGAATTCCCCACTGAACAGGGAACCCCATGGGGCTTGATCCCAGGACTTTGGGATCATGACCTGAGCCAAAGGTAGCCGACTAACCGACTAAGCCACCCAGGCGCCCCTCATCTTTTTAATTTTTAAAATCTGTTTTATTTTTCACTCCAGTCTTTATAATCCATCAAAGCTTTATTTGGGGATATATGAGAATTAGGAGACATCTAAACAGTCCCTCTGGCTCTTCATCCTCCCTCCCCAAATAGGTAACTTTTTCCAGCACCACCTGCCGAGTCATTCTTCTCACCAACCATTTTCTTTATTCTATACTGATTTTTCATGTTTTCTTTATCACATATTAAGTTTTTATGAGAATGAAGCTTGATTTTGGGGTTCTCCATTGTATTTAATTGCTGTTTAATTTTTTATAAATGTAATATAAAATATGACTACACTTTATTTTTTAAATTTTAGTAAGAGGCATAAAACCTATATAAATGGAATTTTCCTAGATAGGAAATTGGATATTATAAAGAAGAACATTGTTGCAACTATAATTTAAAATTCAGTGCAAGAAGAGGGGTTATGTGGCTTGTACTCTGAATTTTATTTGAAAACTGAGGAAGTTTTTTTTCCCCATGATTATTGATTTTGTCAGATTTTCTACTTGTTTTGAGACAATTTTGGTAATTAGTATTTTTCTATAAAAATTGTATTGAAATTTTAAAAATTCTTAGCATAGAGTTTTCATGTCAGTATGTTTCTAAAATTCATCTCCATATCTGTCATTATCATGTCTTTGTCATTGGCTTATTTATATTTTCTCTTTTGTTTCCTCAGTATATTTTCTAGAGCTTTGACTCTTTGGCCAGCTGACTAATAATAGATCAGTAATTTGGGAGAAATGAAGAGTTTTTCTTTTTTTAAGCAATGGACGACTGTACAGTGGGTCTGTCCCAAGGAGCTTATGCCTGTAAAATAGAATAGGGAATTGGCAAGAGTTGATGCCTGGCACTGGACTGCTCAGGGTAGGGTCTGAACAATTCTGGAGGAATTCCAGGGAACTTCTTGCAGTTCTAAGTAACTGATTGGGTGTTTTAAGTGAATGAGGTTATTTTCTTATCCAGGAAGAACCTAAGAAATGGAAAAAATGAGATGGTTCAGGCATCTAGTAATAAAATATTAAAGCTGGATGTGATATAATTATTCAGAAGAAGAATATTAATTATCACTGATCTTTTTGGCTCTTTCCTAAACAGGCTCCCTTAGTGGGTGGTTGTTGCTTGGGTGGTGTGTATGGCTCTGTCCATGGGGATGGGGCCTGGCTGTTGTAGGAGTCACCCATCAAGGAGAGAAGGCAGCAGGGAAGGGCAGATCCGGCGGAGAAAATGGCAGCCTCCGTTAACATGGCTGGAGAGCAGGGAGGCAGGGAGGATACTGCAGTTAGCCTTTGAGGGGGATAATTAGCACTGATAAAGGAGGCTGTAGGATTGGAAAGGAAAGGAGAGCTATAGCAGATTGATGGCTCTGATACCTAGTGAAAACCAGTATCAACCCTCCTGGGAACTCCCAGGGTTCTTGGCCTTGCCTCTTAGCACTAAATTCTGCTGGGATTCCTGTTGTGCAGGCAAGGTCAGAGACCTGGCTGCGTCTGCCAGGCCTTGTGGAATAGTGAGTCATGGGGGAAATCCCAGAGAGGGGAAGAGCAGCAGGAGTGTGCCTCCTTCCCATCACAGTCTGGGGCCGTGCAGAGGCATCTGTCAGCTGACAGATGTCAGGCTCTAGGATGAGGCCACTGTCCAAGGCTGTGGGGTTTGTAAGCTGCATATCTGGGAAGCCTTGGTCCTCTCCCCAGCCTGAGCAGGTCCTGGAGGTCCTTGCCTCACAGTTACAGCAATAGGACACGATGGTGCCTTGCCCCCTTAGCGCAGCTCCACCACCTCAGCCTTCATGGTCATGGGAGCACAGCCTCTCCCCTGGTATGACCTGAGGTCTAGTGTGCAAGCCTATGGGTGCAGCTTTCTTGGGGACACATCAATGGCCTGATGCACCACCCCAGCATTCTACTAGGACTGAGTGCTGTGAGCTCTGCCGGTGGCCACCTCCTTCCCTGGGAGGCCAGCCTTGTGGGAGTCAGCCAAGAGAACCCCTACCTCTCACTGGACCTGCCCTTTTAGATTGTGGGCTCTCAGAAGGCAGGACTGATGTCTCATTTATCTTCATGTCCCCTCAGTGCCTGACTTGTTTGGCTGGCTCTGTAAGTGGTTTAGGAATGAAGAAGAGCAAGCCCAAGAAGGAGACTAGATAAACCTTTCTTCTCTTAACCATTCTTAACCATATTGTTCCTCTTGGGGGATCTGATGAATGCGTTGGACTATCTCCAGAGAAGTATAGGCAAACACACATACACATAGAATCTTGTACACAGCCTGTCAGTTGATGAACCCTGGTTAAGAGCCCCTGCCTTAGAACTCTGGTAGGTTCCACTTACACCATCTCAGCATCATCTCATTCTGTGCCATGCCCCACACATCTGCACACCCCCCCTCACCTGCTCTGAGCCTGTGCACCGTATAGGTGTTGGCTGGAGTACCAATCTGGAACTCCAGTTACACTGATCCAAGGTTTGTTGAAAAAGATTGCATTTCACTGTTGCTCCAGAGAGGGTCCATTGGCTAGCCATGAGGAATAATGGCTTCCTGGGCAGCACAGGTTTTACTTGATGTTCAAAACATGACCTTTAAGTGGACAGCCCATGCTTGACCCCACCTAAGGAGAAGTGGCCTTGTTTCTTCGAAGCCACCAAAGCCAGCAGTGCAGGAAGCCTAGAGATGAAGCTTCCAGAAACCCACTGGTTGAGACTGGACTTGGCAGCCTTGGGCAACATCCTGTTTCAGACTTTTTGGCCTTCTTCTCCACAGTCTTCCTCTTGCTGTCACCCTATCCTTTGGCCTACTGGGTAATTGACTTTTTCCCGGTAGGTTGTTTTTCATGATTTCCTGAGTCACTCCCTTCAGCTTGTATTTATTTGACATTCAGAGCCATTTCCTATTTGGTAATGTTTGGGGCTTTCATGGGGTGGAACGTCCCATCGGTTCTCCTTCCTTGTGTTCCCATTCAGTGATGTCTTTTGTTCTGTAGATTCTGGCTGTGACTCAGTCACTGACACCGAGACTGAGGACGAGAAGGTCCCTTCCTACTTGAAGCAGCAGAACCTGCCACTGCAGACTTCACCTGGGAACCTGATGGTGGTGCAGCCGGACCGTATTCGCTGTGGGGTAGGCACTCGTGGGGCTGGTGGATCAGTGGCAGAACGTGGCCTTTTTAACGGATGTATTTGTTGCAGTAAAGGGAGTGTAATCTCAGCCTTCCCTTGGGGATTCCATTGTAGATCAGCTGCCCTGGGAATCCCAGTACCTGGGACTTGAGCACACCTCTCTCCTTTAAGTAAGAGAGAGGCGAGCTCAGGAAAGTGTGTGTCATCCGAGACTTTCTAAGTTCATAGATCAGAAACACAGAGCATGTGGCAGGTATGAGCCTTACCAGACACTTAGGCCAACCCTGGAGGTAGAGGCCTGGGTCTGTTCCTGCCAGTCTGAGGCTGGGAGGAAGAAGATGGGTGGGGGGCATTTTGAAAGCCTGCCTCTCCATCAACTGACCACTCCAGTACTCCAAGTGAATGCCTTGAAGCTTGCTGGCTAAAACTTGCCAATATTGCTTGCTAAAGGGATAAGATAAACACCAAAGCATAATGTGACTAACATTTTCAGGGTGGCACCTATGTTAACAGGTGACTTGAATGTGGTGGCCCAATTGATGGTCCACTGTCATTTGAATTCTACCATAGAATTGGTAGTTTTTCATTATCTTTCCTTTCTTGATGAAAAATATGTGATATTAGTTCAGAGCAGCAGAATGCTTCCCTGTGGATATGAGCCCTTTACTAACTTTGCCACCATGGTGTCCTTGGGACAAGAGGGCGTGGGAGCCTTGGCAATGGGAAGTACTAGCCTCCTTGCACCTGTGAGTGGTTTTCCATGTAGCCTGACGCCACAAGGCGTTGGGCAAGGACTCCCTCCATGGGGATTGCAGACTGCTGCTTTGCAGACTGTGGCTAGATTGAGCTCATAGACATGTTGGGTTTCGATTGCACAGTGTTTTTAAAAAATTAGGCATGAAAATCGATTCCCAGCTTCCTTTGAATCAGGATCTGGTAATACCAGGCCTGAGGTGAGTGGCCGGGCCCAGCAGCCCATTAGATGATGCATGCATCCCCTAGTTCACATCTCCCACCACTCCCTTTTCTTTCTTCGCAGCCCACTTCATGCCCCCTCCTCATTGGCCAGGACTTTGTGGGCATTTCAGTTTCCAGTCTCTCTGTATGCCTTCCTGTCTTCCCTACACTCCTGTCGTCCTAAGACTGGCTGGTGGGCACCTGTGGATGAGGGTGTTTGGAACTGAAGAATGGCGCCCTTCACACACCTCCCTGATTCTCCAGACTGTCGTTCTTTCTCTTGTCCTGGCTTCCAGGATTCGGCTTGTGGCCTTCTCTAGGTCTCTGGATCCTGGAGCGGCCAGGCTGGGGCTGGATCCTGCTGTCAACAGAGAGGGCACACTCATTCTCTCTGACTCCCCATGCTGCCTGGGAGAAGAAGCAGGCGGGACAGGGCTGGGCCTGCAGCTGGAGGCAGGACCACCACAAACACGTTCACATTTAGCCTCAGCAGCCTCCAGAAGCCAGGACCTAGCCTCTCCCTCACCTGTTGTGAAATGGTGGCCCTTGTCCTGAAGGGCTACTATGAGGTCTTTATAGTAGAATCTAAGGATGAACATTTGGAGATTAGCAATGACCGGAAATCTCCCCCCGCCCCCGCTCTTTGGAGGGCCTGTCCTTATCAGTTCAAGTCTTAAGAGGCCCATTCCCCACTTAATGAGCCCAGTAAAACAAGATCATTGCATGTGGCGGGTCTGGCAGGAGACCTTCAAGCAAGGTGATATAGCTATTGGATTGTTCCATGCCTGGGGAAAATCAGTCCTCCAATAAGGTATTTGTGCCCTTTCAAGAACAGCGTAAGAAGCAGAACCCAAGAGGGCTTCTCTAGGCTGGTGCCTCTCACATCGTAAGGTGCATGTGAGTCACCTGGGGGTCTCGGTAAAATTCAGACTTTGATGGTTCAGTGGGGCCAGGAGGGGCCTGGCATTCTGCATTTTGAATCCACTTCCAGTGCTGTCAGTCCACCGGCTTCCCATTGAGTAGCCAGGCTCATGTCAGCATAGTGCTTCTCAAACTATCTGTGAAGACTCATTTTATTTTGTTTTTCAAAATTCCCAATTCTGCCATGCACCAATGATTTTATAAAATGCAATAAAAAAGAAATGCTATAAAAGTGAAATAAAAAGATGAAATACAAGCCCCAGGATTTTAAATTATTACATTAGATTCAACAGACATAAAATTACTCGCATCAAATTGTTATAAAGGTTTATAAACATTCACTTCTCAGTCTTTGTAACTTGTCTCTTTGGGACCCATGGCAGTCAGGCCCAGTGCTGGACTGCAGACCCCACCCTGCTCTGGGACAGCCTCACTGGATAGAGCTGGGGCTCCGGGAGACAGGAGACCCTCTGCCCAGCACCCTGATAGGGCACCCAGGAGGGGGAGGGGACACTGACTGGTCTCCTATTCCAGGTGGAAACCACTGTCTACGTCATTGTGAGATGTAAGTTGGATGAGAGGGTGACAACAGAAGCAGAATTTTCCCCTGAGGATTCTCCCTCAGTCAGGGTGGAAGCCAAGCTGGAGAATGAATACACCGTTTCCGTGAAAGCCCCCAGTAAGTAGCTCCGTCTACCTCCGGAAATCAGGCATCCTGTTCAGGAAGAGGCCCACTCTTGCTTTCTTTTACTTGTCCTGTCTTTATTTAGCAACTGAGAAAAGTGACAGCCAAGATTTGGATCTGGTTGGCATGTTCTATTTAAAGGAAAAGGAAGTTGCAGAAACATACATGCGCAATGGGGAAAAAATGGATATTGTAAAATTTTTTTTATCCTTACGAAGTTAATATATTAAAATTTTTTGAGGGGCACCCGAGTGGCTCAGTTGGTTAAGTGTCTGCCTTCAGCTCAGGTCATGATCCCAGGGTCCTGAGATCAAGCCCCACGTCAGGCTCCCTGCTCAGTGGGAGAGTCTGCTTCTCCCTCTCCCTCTGTCCCTTACCCCGACTCGTGCTTTCTCTCTCATTCACTCTCTCTCTCAAATAAATAAAATCTTTAAAAAAAATTTTTTTTGAGGGTGCCTGGATGGCTCAGCTGACTGACTGCCTTCAGCTCAGGTCATGATCCTGGAGTCCCGGGATCGGGCCCCACATCGGGCTCCCTGCTCGGCAGGGAGTCTGCTTCTCCCTCTGACCCTCTTCCCTCTCGTGCTCTCTATCTCTCATTCTCTCTCTCTCAAATAAATAAATAAAATATTAAAAAAATAAATAAAATTTTTTTTGAAATTAGAGAAAAATAGAAAAAAATCATCAGACTTTTTTGTTCACAATTTTAAAAACAGTTGTTTTCAATATTCTGTTTTTCTTGATATAATCTTATATTTATTCTCTCAGCATCCTTTTGCCCCATGCTGTTATGTGGACTTTGTAACTTTTTTTTTTTTTAAGATTTTATTTATTTGAGAGAGACAGAGACAGAGACAGAGCACAAGCAGAGGGAGCTGCAGGCAGAGGGAGAAGCAGGCTCCCCGCTGAGCAAGGAGCCCGATGCGGGACTCCATCCCAGGACTCCAGGATCATGACCTGAGCCGAAGGCAGACGCTTAACCCTCAGACGCTTACCCCTCAACTGACTGAACCACCCAGATGTCCCCGTGTAACTTTCCATTTTATAACATATTTTTTCTATTATAAAAGTTATGTGTGCTCAATACTGAAAAGTTGAAGAAGACAGCCAAGGTAAAGGAAAGTAAATAGAAAATTGCCTGTATGCCCCAAAGGAAATCAGTGATTTCTGTATTTTTCTGTATCTACTACATAGCTTCGTATAGTTTCCTAGGCCACTTTCGTTACCTGGAAGATACCTATGAGTATTTTCCCATGTTAATAAATATTCTTTTACAACATAATGTTTACTGGTCGCAAGCTAATCCCTTGTATAGATGTATCATAATTTATAAAACCAGTTCCTTGTGTTGGACTTGTATCTTATAAATCATCTTGTTTAAAGCTGCATCATACTCCATTAAAAAGAAGTATCATCTTTTAATTTTTCGCCTCCTCGTTGTTATGTATTTATGTCATTTCTGATTTCTTAGTGTCTTCTTATTGTTTTAAATTCTGATATATCAAGCCTCTTTATGCTTGCATGGATTGAGGAGTATTTCCTCAAGATGGAGCCTCTGAAATGCCAGGCATTTTTTTTTTTTAAGATTTTATTTATTTATTTGACAGAGAATGAGAGAGGGAACACAAGCAGGGGGAGTGGGAGAGGGAGAAGCAGGCCTCCCGCTGAGCAGGGAGCCCAATGCAGGGCTAGATGCCCCTGGGATCATGACGTGAGCCTACTGGGACCATGGCCTGAGCCGAAGGCAGACGCTTAATGACTGAGCCACCCAGGCGCCCCAAATGCCAGGCATTTTTCAGGATCCTGGAAAAAAACAGGGCTTACTTGCTTTCTGAAATACTAGTCCTGTGGAGTTTGCTGTGCCATCACCGACACTAGGCATTATCATTTTTAAATATCTTTGCTAATTGGATGCCTTTTGAAGGAGTAGCCCATTGTTTTAATTTGCATTTCTTTGATTACTAGCAGAGGCTATTTTTCCCTGTTCTCTACTTGTTGCATTTCCTCTTTTGTGAATCGAATCTTTGTGGTTGGTGTATTTTTAATTTTTTCTTTCCCCCTCAAAACCCCTTCCTGTGGTGGAGAAGAGCTAAAGAGCACATAGTCATGACAGCAACAGAGCCAGTGAATCAGTTATCCCAAGTCCAGTGTCGGGGAAGCACTGAGCTCCACCCGCCAGGATCTTTCCCACCTTGTCACCACCAGTGACCTCTGTAGAAAGTGCTTTAAACTCAACTCTTCTTCCTGTTTGCCATGGTCCTGGGCCTACTGTAGCAAACAACACAGATGAAAATTTTCCAAAAATTAAATTGCAAACACAAATGAGGACAATTCCGCTGACTCAGAGGCCTCTCAGGTGCTCGTCCCTCACTTCCTGTTTCTACCCTTCCCCTCACCTCTCTCTCCCCGGCCTACCTCCCAAATCTTTCTTCCAGCCCCCAGTCAATTTCTTTCCCATTAAGGTGAATCCATGGACACCTTCCCCTGGACCCTTATTCTTCCTGGGCACATTTGTGGTATTTTTGTTTCTTCTCTTCAGGCCTCTCATCTGGGAATGTTTCCTTGAAGCTCTATTCCGGGGATTTAGTGGTGTGTGAAACTGTGATCAGCTATTATACTGACATGGAAGAAATTGGGAATTTATTGTCCAATGCTGCAAATCCCGTGGAGTTCATGTGTCAGGTACGGATGTTGAAAGGAAGCCTGAGTTTTGGGGACATGTCGTTTCTGCTCGTGGTTCTTCAGCTTCGCATCTGCTGAATGGGAGATGGCTGGATTTAAAATCTGACCTGACCTTCTTCACTTTTATGTTCAGGCCTTTAAAATTGTGCCCTACAACACAGAGACCCTTGATAAACTGCTCACTGAGTCCCTGAAGAATAATATCCCTGCGAGTGGACTACACCTCTTTGGAATTAACCAACTGGAAGAAGGAGATATGATGACAAGTGAGTCAAAAGTCAAGCCTCAGGAACCAGCTGTGGGTTGATTCTAGTTTGTTGGTCTCAGCATCCAGTCACCCTGTGCTTGCACCTTGCTGGTTCCTGCTCTGCAGCTCATCCTTTGGGAATGATTCCTTCACTAGCTAGCTAGAGAATCTTCTAAATTGTAAATCTGAATACCTCGACCCCTTGCTAAAAATTACCCTTTGTGGTTCCCATTTGCCTTCTAGATAAAGTCCAAACTCCTTACCATGTTTGCAAGCCCTTCCCAAGGGGTTCCTGCTGCATTTCTGCCCTCATCTCTCTCTACACTGTCCCTGGGCTCTGCTCTACAGAAAGGATGAACTTCTTTCACCTCATGAAAATTCTGCCCTGCCTCTTGCCACCTGAACTCATGGGAGTACAGTTTCTTCCTGTCCTCGTTGGTGGCTGTGCACCTGGCTAACTTCTCTTCACCTCCGTACAGTGGCCTAGGTAGCGCTTCCTCAAGAAGACCTCTCGGAACCTTCGGCAGGTTCTGTCTACGTGCTGTGGGCTCCCCTGGCATGTTGGGTGTCCTCTGTACTCTTTCTCCTTAGCTGTGCCTGCCTTCTCTGCTAGGCTGTCAGCGCAGTGAGGGCTGAGGCAATGCCTGGGTGGCTAATTGTAGGATTGAAACAAACATTTGTTCAGGGAGGGAGGAGCAGTCTCCTGTGCACATGTGACATGCTGGGAGCTGGGATAACGGCTCGTGTGGGGGTGGTGCCTGGTGGGCTGACAGGATGCCCGGTAGGGTGCTTCCGTGGATACCGCTCTTCCTTCACATTGCATGATGGAACCTGGTTGCCCTCTGCCCTGTGTCCCATCCTTCCAAAGCCAAGAGAGCCAGAAGGGTGGGGTTATATTACCCTCAGGTCCTTCTCCTGAGGCCATTCTCTTATTGCCTCTCCCCCTTTTCCTACTGTGGAATGTTCCTGCATTACCTCCAGCAGTGTTAATATTCTCTGTTGTTGAACTTGGGGCTCAGGAAGAGTATTTCACAGCCTGCCGATGTGGGGTCCTGGGGACATTTTCAGACCCTTCATCCCAGGGATCATATCCTGGTGAATAGGAAGCTGGGTTTGTTTTACTAAAAAAAAAATCTGTATGCAAATATATTTGTGTGTGTGTGTGTGTGTGTGTGTGTGTGTGTGTACATAAAAGTATATGTCTGTCTATCTTTCACTGTTGGGCTTAGAAATCAACTTTTATGCGAACAAACAAAAGAAAGATTTGTCCCCAACTCCACAACACAAACGTGTCTATTTTCTTGGTAGAGTTTAACTTGATGGATCCAGATATTAGTAGGCAGAGGAGGTCATGGGGATATAGTGACCCTAAGGAGTACTTTGTTTCCCATGAATCAGAGGGTTAATGGACTTCCTGTGGTTCAGGTGTATTAATGCCAACATTCAAAACCTGTCCTAAACAAAGAACTCGCCGAATACCATCTTATTAATCCTCCCAGCCCTTTTGAGATAGTTTGGAAATATCTTCTAGTTCAAAACTAAGGGCCATGGAAAGGCTAATTAACATACCTAGGATTACTTGGCATGCTTTATGAAATTTGGAATAAGAGCTAAGAAGATGGACTTAATTTTTTTTAATCAGCACAAAGCAATTGTGATAAAGTGCTGTGAAATTTACAGAGAAGGTCAAAACATGATTCCTGTTGTACTTTGTGGCTGCTACTTAAGCCTTTAGAAAATCAGCATATTTTGAATTAGTATTATTTTTCAGAATTCTCTGATCCTTTTAGAGAAAGAAGGTAGAATATTATTAGATTTGCTAATTAATTAACATATCATTTCTTCCGTCATCTGAGGGCATAATCTTCAGTTGTGCCTCAAAGGAAGCTGTCAGCTGTTAGGTCATTCAACCAAGAAGTAATGATTGAGTGCCTGCTGGATGCCATGGTAGTCTTGCCAGCTTTGTCTCCATGAACAAGGGTGCCCATGCCTTCATTCTTATTTGTCCATTGTTTTCCTGAACAATTTTTCAGATCAGAGGGATGAAGAGTTGCCCACCCTGTTGCATTTTGCTGCAAAGTACGGACTGAAGAACCTCACTGCCTTGTTGCTCACCTGCCCAGGAGCCCTACAGGCATACAGTGTGGCCAACAAGCACGGCCACTATCCCAACACCATTGCTGAGAAACACGGCTTCAGGGACCTGCGGCAGTTCATCGATGAGTATGTGGTAAGGTCAAGGCGGGAGAGGCCCCAGGAATGGAAATGCACTGTGTGGTCCTAGGGCTTACCTGTTTGCTAGAGACACGGTTGGATTTCATCCCTAGCGTGTGCCCATGTGCCTCTTCTCTGGCAGGGCCAGTATGTGTGGGCTTAAGAGATGCGCCCTGGAGTCCCATGGACCTGGGTCCACATTCCTGGGCCAACACTTGCCAGCCACGTGACTTTGGACAAATCACGTACCCTGTTTCTTTTAGTTTCCTTAAGTGCAGAAGGAAGGTAATGCTAGTTCTGCTCATAGGGTGGTTTTCAGGATAAAAGGAAATAATGTCTGCAAAGCACTGAGGTCCACCTTGAAAGAATTTACAGAGACATTTGAAGAGTGAATCTGCTGCAGGTTGATGGTGACCCCTCTTCCCCGCCCCCACCTGCATCTCCAAGGCACTTTGGTGGAATGCTTCCAGCTGCCTCCCCCACTGTCAGGTCCATGTGAACTGTTAGGATTGGTTCCTTCCTTAGCAGAGACCACAACGAAGCTCTGCACTGGAGGCTTCCCGGAGCCCAACTGGAAGGTTCCCCTTTAGGCTAATGGCCTGTCTCTTTCTGAGCCTCTGCTGATCTTAAGAGAGATATGCCCAGTTTATTTGCTCATCTGGTTTTGGATCCCCAGGTCCTCCTTGATCACTGACTTCTGGGAACTTCTTTGAGTGTAATCTCATCCTGTGCCTGGGCTTTGCTCCATGCCCCAGTATCACTTCTCTTGTCTTAGAGACCCCTGCCCTTCCTGACTCCACCCTTTTCTGGTTTTCCTTCATCTTCACGAGTCACAGTGGGGACTCTCAGCCTCTCACGTGGAGCTGAGACCTCAAAAGGAACCATAAAGACCTAGTCTTTATGTTCTAGTCTTGCTCTCTATCTCCATACAGGAGCGAGCCTACACCTCCCAGAAGCTTAACTCCGAGCTCTGTGTTTGACGGTCTGCAAGGCAGCGACTCGCTGAGGCGTGGAGGGGGCCCCCCACAGTTTGGGGGTGATTAAGTGTGTTGAATGAGTAGAATAGCATGAGTGTCTGTTTTGGGCGTCACTGACATAAATGAGGCTAAAAGGTGCTCACCGTCCAGAGTATTTACTCAGCTTTACTTTAAAGGCACAGATGTATAAAATGCAGTATATCATTTCCACACCAGTAGTTTTTATTGGGGACATACTGTGTTTACAGTCGTGACTACTATTTATTGAATTTATTTGATTAGCAAATGCCATGATTCACTTAATGCTCACCACAATCCTTGGAGGTTGACAGTATCGTTATCTGTCTGTAACCAACGAGGAGAAGGGCTTGGGAACGCGGAATAGTTGTGGCCGGATCACACTCTAGCAAGGGATAGGACAGGAACCTAGTTTGATGCCGATGCTGGGGCTTGTTATTTTAATTTACGTAACAGGGAAGTGGAATGATGGCTTTTCAGTTTGCACCGAAATTAATCCAGTTCTCCAACCATAATCACCTTCAGCCAGTGCATCTTCAGCATTGCTACCAAAAGGTCCCTGCATGTTTTTGCAACCTCTAGGAACTGTCCCGTTTCCGCTTTCCACCACATCGAAAACAAATGCCAGACCTTGAGTCTCCAAGCACTTCACAGCTGTCACCTGGGCCAGTCTCATCAGAAAACCAACACACTATGTCAATAGCAGATTAGCTGTCTTGAGGTAGCGATGATGAAAATGAGAATTTTTGCGGGTTGATGCTGAAATGAGGATGGTGAAACACCGAAGTTTCTTACCAGGAAAAGTTGTGCAGGGTTTCAGAGAGGCCAGCTTTCTGCCTTTACCACCACAGGAAGGCAGAAGGACAGGGGCAGCCTGTCCTACTGCGGGTCACTTCCGCCAAGGCCCTCTCTCTTCTTGGCACGCAGCATGTGAAACCAAGGGAGGCACTGGCGAGCAGCCTGCTGGAAGGAACAAGGACTAGGCAGTGGGCTTCTGAGAGCCGTCTGACTACACATGAGGGCAAGAACATCTTAGCTGCAGCCCTGTTTAGCCCATTTGGATTTCCATCTGGTTGGTCAGTGAGGGTTACAGCCTTGGGGATCAGTTGTTTCCTTTCGAGGAACCGAGGTGGAGTAGAAAGGTCAGAGGCAGGATTGCACGCCCTTGAGTAAGGTACTAGGGTTTTCTGAGCTGTGGTTTTCTTATGTGTGAACTAGGGAATATTGCAACTTTCTCAAGCAGCTGTGGAAAGGATGATGTGAGGTAATGTGTAGGCAAACACCTGGCATTGTACCTGACCCATAGGAGGTGCTCATGAGGAAGTCTTTAATTTGTACCCTATGCTCATTGGACATTTAATGCCCATCTCTTGTCTGCATGACCCTGTGCTGAGCATTGGGAAGAGATACAAAGATTAAAACAAAACACAGAAAACAAACAGACAAAGACTCGGAGCCTGGCCTCCAGGAGCTTTCAGGCTGGTGGGACAGCTGAACGCTGACCCATGTGAACCTTTCCTCTTTGCCTGTCCCAAGCGCACCAAAGGCCTCGCTCTACCCAGAAGGCCAGAGTGTCCCCGGGCGCCTCTGAGTCCCATCTTCCCTTTCAGGAAACTGTGGACATGCTGAAGAGTCACATCAAAGAGGAACTGATGCAAGGGGAGGAGGCTGATGCCGTGTATGAGTCCATGGCCCACCTCTCCACAGACCTGCTCATGAAGTGTTCCCTCAACCCCGGCTGCGACGAGGAGCTCTATGAGTCCATGGCTGCCTTCGTGCCCACGGCCACCGAAGACCTCTGTAAGTAGCACAGCCCAGTTCCGCCTCCGTCCTGCTGCTGACACATGGCTTTCTTACTTCTCTTGGACGGTGTGGGGGGAGGGTGGAAGTCCCTTTCTGACCCCTGCCCCACCCCAGAGAGACGAAGATCCTGTTTTACACAGAGTTAGGGCTGTCATCATGTGCTGTGACAAGCACAGTCCTTCTCCAAACTTCCTCTGCTGTGGCTGCTGAGAGACTGGAAAGTGCAGGCAAGGGCCTGGAGGTCCGAGTTGATGGAGGCACCTTGCCTTGTGATCTGAGGGGCGAAGGCCATGGCTCTCAGCCCTGTCAGTCCCAATGGGCCCTTTCTGTAGCGAACATTGCCCCCGTTGGTGCCCTGACGTGCCGTTCAGATATCGTCTAACCCACCTACATGTGAAAATTTAGAAATCAAATATACGCCCTGGTGGAAATGTAAGGTAAGTGAAAGGAGAGGGAGGGCTCGGTATTCCTGCGCATGAGGACGGAATGAAATAGCTGCAGACCCCGACACTCAGAATCTCTGCCAATGCCATGGCCTCAAGTGCTGAGCGACCGACGCACATCTGTTGTATCGGCGACTTGCATACCACCAGCAATGTTGGCATCAGTGCCTGGATTTTCCTAAATGGTAAATGATTCCTCACACTCTCCTTTCCACTTTCATACTAATTGAATTCCTGGAAAATTCCGTGCACTTTAAAACCATGCAGAAATACGAATTGTATTTACCTACGAAGCAGTTTAGTTTCCAGGCTCAGAAATTTATAAGCAGATTCTTTGGGTAACCTAACTTTAATAGATGAATATATAGTAAACTTATTTCTAAAATATCATATCTTTAGGACAGGATTTTTCTTGTAAATTGTTTTAACAAATTTTGCCCATTTTTTGGTTAACTTGTTGTTTCCAAGTGTAAAAGTAATACATTCTTATAAAAACTTGGAACAAAATAGAAATGTTATAACCGAGTTATTAAAAGTCCATATGACTCTACCCAAAACCAACCAATATAGCGCTGCTAATAGTTTGGTGGGGTTATTTGTCCATATTTTTCTTCGTACCTACTGATATTAAATTAAGAAATATACACACGTACATATGCACAGATATGTACAAATGAACATATATGTGTAAATGTATATCATAAGTTGTTTTTTTTAACCTATATGTATGACTAGTGCAATATTTAGAAGTCACGAGGGGCACAGAATGCTTCCTTGTCCAGGACAGCGCTGCACATGGCAGAGTGTTTGTGTCTTTCCTGCTTCTGCTAGAGGCTGGTACAGTAGTCTCCCCTTAGGTCTCACTTTCCCGTGGTCAGCTGTGACCCAGAAGCAGAGGATCCTCCCCCTGACCTGTCTGCGCAAGGTCAGTGCTAGCCTGATGCTATGTCACAATGCCCAGGTCATTTATCTCATATGTAAGCATTTTATCATCTTCTGTCATCACAAGAAGGGTAAGTATAGTAAAATATTTTGGGGACAGAGAGAGACACCAGGTTCATATAACTTTTGTTACAGTATATTGTTAAAGTTGTTCTATTTTATTCTTAGTTATTATTGTTAATCTCCTACTGTGCCTAATTTATAAATTAGGAACTTTATCATAGGTATGTGTGTATAGGAAAAAATATAGTATATGTAGGGTTTGGTACTATCTGTGGTTTCAGGCATCCCCTGGGGGGCTTGGCGTGTAGCCCCTGAGGCTGAGGGGAACTACTGTAGTGTCCCTCCATCATGGTGACAACCTAAAACCCCCTCTTAGATTTTCCAAGCCTCCCCTAGAGGGCAGTGCCACCGTCCTTGAGAACTACTGATCCAAATAATGTTGGACTTCCGTGCACGGTGTTGGAGCAGGAGGACCCACCATGGGCCCTCAAAGAACCTTCTTAACATGTCAGTACCATTTGCTCTGAAATGCTAAGCACTCCGAAACACTGCCTGACACAGCCCTCCTTCCCTCTGGGCTATCCAACAGATTCAAGAAAGGTGAGACGAATACCCATCTGTGTATCAGCTTTATTGACGAAGGGCTTTCTGGAAGGGGCTGGAACGGGCTATTGCCAGCTTTCAGCCTGAGAAGAAGACAGAGGGGCTCTGGGTGCACGGGGCAGGGGGGTGGGCTTGAGTTTCCCGCCCATGAACAGAAGAGCAGGCGCCAAGAAGGTGCCTTGGAGTAGGGGGTGTGGGCAGGTCAGGGGCCAGAGGCAGACGTCGACATGGCAGCCGCAGCACCTGGAAGCTGTGGTCCAGTCGTTGTTAGGTGCTTGCTAGTTCAACTGGCTGCCCTTTGGGGAGCGGGGAGAATGTGGGAAAGCTCAGCAGAAGCTCCCTTCCTGCACCTGACGGGGAGGACTGGACGTGCTGGTAGAAGCTCTTCCCGAATGAGTCACGACCCGGCGGGGAGGGCGAGGAAAGCAGGCATCATCCCCCCGTCCACATCCTCTATCTCTCTGAACCCTTCAAGACACGTAAGAATGCTCTGGTGAGCCTCCACGTTACAAATGACAAGACTGAGGCGCAGAGAGGTTGAACGACACTCCCAGAGTCTCACGGCGGATGAGTGATGGCGCTCACATTTGAGCTCAGGTCTCTGTCTCTAGAGCCATATTCTTTACTCCCGGCTGGAAATCTCCATCGAACGCCGTTAAGTGTTAGTCCTGGTTTCTTCTAAAGAAGCCAGCTCGCTGCCACAGCCCCGGCCCTGAGGTCAGCTCACCAAGCGGCCCCTGGTGCCCTGGGCACTTGCACTTCCCTCTGTCTCCCCGGGGGGCCCAACAGGCATTTCTGGAGCATCTCCTGTGTTTTAGCTGCTTGCCACTTCTGGGGGTCGGGGTCACAAGAGGGGCCAATACACTGTCCTTTCCAATCTGGAACTGAGACCCATTCACAAAAGAACATTTGAAGGACAACTGGAACCTACTTGGGAAGCCTGAGACTGTGTATCAGCATTTCCTCCTGTGTCCTTACTGTGCGGCAGTTGAACAGTTAAAGAATGCCCCACTTCACTGGCTGTTTTGTGTTGACACAGAGCCTTAACACCTGTTATCCCCCTGGAAGCGCCAACCCAGTGGAAAGCTGCGCTTATGCTAAAGGCAGCCACACACAGCGGGAGCAGTGAACCTCTCCAGCTCTTCCCAAGGCAGTGGAGGGCTATGGAGTGAGCCTGGTTTGTGGCTGTTGGTGAGGTGCAAAGTTACACGGGGTCAGGGGGATTCTGCTTGCCCTGGAGCCAGGAGGAGGCCACCAATAGGCAGGCTGTAGAATTTGGCTGCTTTGAGGATGGGGAAAGGAAGCTCACTGCATTTTTCATTTGCCGGATCATATAAACTCTGAATATTCTGATTCTAGACCTGATTTGATTTGTGTTTCTGTCTCTGTGGTTTAATCTTGAGAAGGACCACTGACCTATTGGCCCAGAAGGAGCAGCAACTTGGACCTGGGGAGGAACCGTTCCTTCTATTAGCAGTGACTCTCTAGGAGAGAAGACGGTCTAGTTCCTTAAATAAGCAGGACAAACTGATAAATCTAAGATATGTATTTGCAGTACCACCTGGCACAGTAATAACTTGCAACATCTGCCGGCCCTTTTTAGTAAGCAGACTGCTTTTATCTCATCTGTTATTTTGTCCAAGTGTCCTCGGCCTTGGTGGATAGAATTAGCTCCATTTCACAGGGGAGAAAACTAAGGCTCCAAAATTTAGTAGCTTATTTAACTCCCACTGAGGGAGGACTGGGTCAGGAATCTGGGTCTGCACATTCCTGGGGACAAGTCTGCCTGCCGCCCCATTGGGAGAGAATACTCTCCTGGCCTGCCCTTCTCAGATCTGGGAGGGACACTTAGACAGGAGCTCTTTCTAAATGTCTCGCTAGCCACGTTGATCAGCGCCCCACCTTTGTTACCACTGAACCCTCGAGGCTGAAAGTAAACATATTAAGGAGTTTAGGCTACATTCATTCCCACATTTGTTCCCAGGACGAACATTATGGAGTACAGGCTTTAGGCCAGTTCTTTACTACTTCTTTGGAGGTCACCCAACTCTGTCTGGACAAATCTGCCTCTTTCTGACTTGAGTTTTGGAAAAGGGCTAGGAATGAAGTCCCCTTCCTCAAAGGGAATCCAAACAACCACTAAGTAGCAAGGTTGTGAGGGAAACGGCCCCCATTGAATGAAGTGGGGGCGGGGGCGTGATGTTGGCTTCCGACCCTGAGATTTCGATTCTGCTCCAGGATCTCCTTCCCCTGAACTTTTGTGGGTCTATACACGCGCGCGCGCGCACGCACACACTCCCACCCCCCCCACACACTCACGGTCTTTAGTTTAGCTATGCTGCCACCAGGTGGTAACTCTGTGTCTTTATCAGACCTTCAACTTTGCTCCCAATTCTCTGGAGAATTTTTTGTTCAAGACATTTAAACCATCAACTTCCTCACATTACTATATAAGAAATAAATATCTTTATTAAGGGTAAGCGTATGCAGACACTAAATAGAAATGAAGGCTGAAACTGACCCAGTGGGGCAAAGGGAGGCCGAAGGCACCGGCTGAGTTCTATTGCTTCTATTCCTCCAGGTGTAGGGGAACTGTGTCAGGGACGTAAGCACTTAGTGACAGCATTGCTGGATTAAAGGTGTTAAAAGCTAATAAGATAAAATCCCCACCACCTGCGGTGAACTTGCTCCCCTCTGGACCTGGATAGCCATGGGTCACGCTCTCCTGGGGGCATTGCAAGCTGATGGCTTTGCACTCTGGTTATGTGCTTCTCTGGTCCTTCTCTGGTTACTGGCTTCCACCTCGGTTAAGAAGCACGTATCGTCCACAATGATGTGCACAACAGGCGCTCAACTATGTCTTGATTTTGAGAGTGCCAGAAAATAGAAAATTGTTCTGGGTTTTGGGGGGTGGAGTAGTTTGGTTGACATTCTGGTGCAAAGACTTTCCTGATAGGTGGTGGTGAGACATCTGTTAGAGGGTCCTGAGCGCGGGACGTCTTGGGC